CATGTCATCTTTCCATTTAGTGTAAAATATATCTTGCATTTTAAAACAGCTGCACTCTTTTTTCACATCGGCGTTCGTAACCAATAACCCAGGAACACTGTTCATGAGTCCCATGAAAACGGGGTCTCGAATACGCCCCTGAAGTTTCCATGTGAAACCGTCCATGTAAAGTGTGATGCGTGGGTCTTATGGTATGTGCACAATGTGAATCCAACTCTAGTCGCCTACTGAATTGGCGAATTCAGCATTCCGGTTTGTCATACGTATCGGCATGATGCTTAGCCGATGACAAAGTGAAAAATTATTTTATGAATGTGTGGTTTCTTATTCAAACTGAAACGCATGTGATACCTACTATGTACCAAACACATAGTCTGTATTCAGACGTTGCTTCACGTTTTAGCTTTCAAATAATTATCTTTAATCCCCCTCATAAACTGACGCATCTATTTCACTTAGACAGCATGCACACTCTCGCACCATAAACGCCTATGATATGAAAAACTACAAATACGTTATTTCTCCTCCAAAACTTTTCACAGGTTAAAGGTAGCGCTGACGTTTACCTCCATTTTCAGTTTTTGGCCCACCTAAAGACTGTTTTTCCTTTTATTGGACATCTTGCTGAGATTTAAATTAACCTATAGTTGAGTTTTGTAAGCAACCATCATATTTTGCACAATCACAGTAGATACATAGTTTGCCTTGGAATGCTTTGAGCTTCGAAATACATGCACCGATGTAAAGCTGCCAGTCACTCATAAGAGTGGGCATCGGTGTAGTGACAGATGAAACTTCGTATTTGCTTTTTCCAGTATATGTTTGACAATTTCGACTGATTAACACTGCAAGGAGCTATTGTGAATTTACCTACGATTATGCTACCTAATTGTGTAATCCAACACTCTCCACCTCTTTTGAACGGCCCAATGGTGACAACTAGTGACGGGAGATTTTAACGGGAGTGTCGTTGGCAATTTGGCCATAAATGAATTAAATTGGCTATAAATAAATAGTATATAAGTACATAAAATTATTAAACTTGCACGAGAAATGCTGGCTAAATCTGCTTACTGGTTCTTGTGTATTACTTACGTTGGTGGACAATGTGAAGGCTATAATTGATTTCTAAAAGTGCTCCAGAGACCTACAACTATTTTGTAAGATCTGGTCACATTTCATGATTACGTAACTCTCAGCAACATGACCCTCATCCGTGTATCTACATCTGTACACTATTCAATGCAATTGAAATGCATGACCCCATTGCAGAAACTGAAGATTCTGCTTAACTCCGCAAGACAATAGCTTGACGCAACAACCCCTAACAGCCTGCGGTTGCGCCTTTTTTGCCGTTTAATGTCGAAAGCAAGGACATAATTCTTTTTAAATGGCGCTGTGACGTCAACCATTTCAGAAATTTAACAATTGACAATTCGCTTGTACAAATCTGTAAAGTAAGCAAATACATGTTTTCACATTTTTTGCTAAGACACCTACCTTTTTAGGAGCTAGTACTCCTGTGGAGATCTGAAGAAAGTTGAAGACAACAAGAGCAATTCCTAGAATTTAAAAATGACAACAATACAGTTTAGCTTGAGGTGGTGATTTAAATTTTCCCCTCGAAATGAATAAACGATTTAACTGCATTCTTGCCAGAATTTGCAACAGTACTATCCGGATACCGTTTCGATTGATTTAAAAAGTCATTTCCACACGCTGTTCTTGTTTTTGGAAGTGCATTGGTCTACCTTAACTTTAATGTTCGCATTAGTTGCATTAAAGCAGGGGTTTATTTTTAAAGGCATATTTTCCCGACATCTGACTCCCTGTATTTCATGAAATGTCATGTACACAGAACCAGGGCTGTTAAACAGATACCAGTTTAAAGTTATCATTCTAATAAGTTATACCGACAAAAGAGCGAGTCAACCTTATCAAGCGATTTGAAGAGTAAGTTTGAGAGATGTCCACGTACACGCTTTCCTCCATCTACACTAACAAGTGTATAGCACATCGCTGGAGACATTATTACTTCATAGGAAGACACTGGGTTACAAGGTGTGTATTTGCCTGCAACTGGGGACCCCCTACACTGTTATTCTGCTGTGTAAAAAAGCGCTGTGTAAAATTGATTTTACACAATAATGTGTCACTATTGAACAACGTTGTGCAATCATATCCAGGTTGTGTTAATACTAAGTTGTGTAAGTTGTGTGACGTTATACAAACTTGTTATTCCCGCCAAAACTGAATTTAAGCAACTGTTGTGTAAATATTGTAACATGTGATAAGAAGTAGCCAATCACGACGCACCAAAGTTTACTGCGGCCGGCCGGCCGGATCGAAATCGCGGCGCGGATCGGAAGATGGCTGACGCTGACACGGCAGGCCTGCTGTGGGGATTCGAAAATTTGGTAGATCTATTTGACGGTAAGTAAGACAGCGGTTCATTAATTTCACTGAAAAGTACGAAGACGAGTAAAACGTTAGTATGGTTCTTTGAGTTGGCCTGCGACACTGAAAGTATTATAAGCCTACGTAATCATGGTCAGCTTGCACTGTTTGCGACCGTCATGACCGTGTACGGCCGGTGGTAGTCGTAGGATACGGCATGGTACGTGTGCTCCCGTACAATGAACAATTCTAGATGAAACTTTTTAACTCCCCTTTTTGAACGGAAATTACATTTAGGCCTACTTCTGAAATGCTCAAATTCTGTACGTAGGCGACAAGGATACCTTGGGTGTTTGCAGGATTACATGTTTTTGTGAGAAAGAGGGAGGGTTTTGATTTTGAACTTTGAGTTTGAAGGACATGTCCACTCATCAACTTCGTTAGGCCCATGATAATTTAGTTCATACATTATGTCTTCAATATTATAAGGCCCTGCTCATGTTGAGCGCACGTCTTCTGTCGGTCGAACATGTACAGTGTATACGTACGTACATATGTACATGGGTACTTGACCTGAGGTCAATTCGCATACCAACCATGCGCTGGAGTGAAAACAAAACAAAACGCTCTGAGGGAGTGTGGACCTTGCGTTTTCAGTGTAGCCTATATCTAACTTATTCCTAATATTAAACTTATTCGAAACTTAAGTAAATATAGTACACACACTCACGACCACTCATCCCCTCCTCCATTTTTAGGCCCCACATTTATATTTCAATTTGAACTCATGTTTTTTACGTTATAAATACCTGGTGTGTCAAATTAGTACATGTATTAGGATACTCTTAAAAGAGAGCCATTTACAGCAACACAAACACAACCTCAGTATTAAAGGTCAGATACACAGTAACTGTATATCTGACCTTTAATTCTGAGGTTGTGGGATTGATGTGGTGACAGTCGACGTCACCATATTTATTATAATGAGTACCATTTATAAAGGCAGCGATTCGTTTGTTTGATTCCAGGGTACCCAATGCGACAGGCACGTTGATACGTGTGTATGTTAATTTTGTACAATTCAAAACTGGTTCCCGTTGAATCCGTGCATGCATAACGAACGAGCAGGGAACCAAGGAAACGAATTTTCATGATCTTTTGTGATACTCGACCTAAAATAAAGCATATATTAATGTTTCAACTTTTAATTCTTTCGTTCCCTGCACGAGCATTATGCATGCATGAATTCATCAACAGGATGAGTTTTGAATGTTGAAAATTAACATACACAATCTTCGCACCTGTCGTGCCCGCCGGGTGCCCTGAAGTACAACACATGAATTGCAGCCTTCATTGGTATCCTGTTTATAATGAACATGTCTATGTCCACTGTCACTGGATTAAACTGGGATTTCTGTGGTGAAATACAAGGGAAAATGCATGCCGTTAAGGAGCTATGTGTGAAAAATCAAAGTTGGAGGAATACGAAAATGTAAGTGGCATTGTTGAGTCACAAGTATTTTAAAAGCTAGGTATTCGGATTCAAAGTTTGCCGTGACAATTCTGCCTTTTGGATTTCAACCGTTTTGGTCATGCCTTGAAGTAGTGCTGTGAATGGTGACCGGAAAGAGAGCCATAAAATTACAGCCCTATCATGCCTATGGGCTAAAATTTCAACTAGCCTACATGTAGGTGTTGTACAAATTTTAATTTTTTGCAGCTTGATTATTGATTGATTGATTATATTGGGAAGAAGTTACAGCAATATGTAACCCGGACCCGCTTTCATCAGTATACTTAGACATATATATGTGTCAAATTCGTGGCCATTTTGTAAATTCCTCTCCCCCACCCCATAGTCACTGCCAAAGGTTGAAACTAAGTACTATGTATGTTTTATGAAAACATCTACCCTATTTCTTGATCTGCACACACAAAAACTCGAAAAGCAGCCTCGATCTATTTCTCAGTTTCCCAAATTCCAAACCAAAAAAACCCCCATATTATTTATTCTGAACACAAAACATATCAGACGAGGCTAACTTAGAAGGCAATACTACATGTAATGCATTAATAAGCCATAAGTCTAGTTTGTGTTTGTCTATTTCTTTCATCAGAGGAGCGTCAAGAACTGGCCATGAGCGTTCTACCATTACTTTTCGTGGGGAGGAGCACGGGAATGAAAGGAAGATGCACCCCTGCAGAATCACTGAGATCATTTATAGATATGAAACCAGTAAGACATTTTAATTTCACTGTCACAAAGAGGAAGTTAAATTGTGAGAACAAAATGGTGGCATGTCTGGAAATGTTTNTAGTGTTAAGTGGAAGACGTGAGAGTCAGTCAACAAAAAAAGACTCTTCATGCACATGGTTCATAAATGCAACTGGAAACAAGTTTTCATGCAGTCCAAAGCCTACTATGCAATTTGTTACATTCTCTGTGATGTTTCAGATCAACACTGAGTTTGAACTGCTTCATCGTGGAAGTGGGAGCAACCTGCTCATCAAATGGCGACCTTACTACGCACCAAAGCTCTTAAAGTTTATGTCTGGGTGTGGAGATGATAAATTTGCAAGTACATAAGAATAAATTCTTCCTAATGCAAATTAAGATAAAGAGCTTTCTTTTTAAGTTGGGGTTGGGTACTGTTCCAAAGTTGGGGGGAGGTTTAAACCTCTAGGGTGTCACATTCCGGGTGTCACATTCCTGTCAATGTAAATTATAATAATGTGTGAAAACTGTGTTTTTGTTAATGGGGACAAATGGATGTTGGCATGAAAATTAAATTACATATGTTCAAAGTAATGATTCTAAAATGGCCGCAAAGAATTTCTTTAAAAAGTTTTATCAGCATTTGCCCTTTTTTGGGGGGGGTATGGTAGAGGCACACTGCAGCCATTTGTATGGGAGGAGGGGTAGGATGCACATGCACGGCTTGATGACCCCCCCTTCCTGCATCCGATCAAGTTGAGCCTTTTCTTCACTGGCGAAGTTCATGGACGTCCTCCTCATCTTGTGTTTAATAGGCGCGCTGTTGCAGGTATCAACTCTATGGCGGTGAAATTTCCAAGGTCGTATTCATTGACAGCAAAGACGCCCTGAAACTCTCTCAACAGAGACTTCAGCTCCTCTTTCTACCCCTCATCCAGCTCCCCTGCAGATCTGGTAAACAGATCACGCAAGTACTCTGGAATATGCCCCTCGGCTCCTAGTCCTGCTCCTTCCTCTACAGAGACCGGGACTTCCTGTACATCTACTACATCCTCAGCCCTCCCCAACTTCCGCCCATGCCTAAGTCGTACATTGTGGTCCGTGGGGTTGACCACATACACCTCGACTTCTTCATCCGGGTCATGGACCGTGCGTAAACCCAAAGCATCCGAGGATAAACCTGAGGACGGCTCGAACATGAACTGACCCAAAGTTCAATTGAGAGTAGGGAGCACTACGGTCGTTTCAATTTTCAAGTTGTCCACTTTTGGACCACCCCGCCGTCGGCAAAGTAAAATCCAAACTTCTGCTAGCAGAAAATTGGGTTTTATGAAAAGGGATGGTGCAACTTGTTGTTCATTTACTTGGTTTCTGTGCAAGACCAGTGATTTCATGTATTTGTTTTTTTTTTCAAATTTTACATCTAAATGACATGTTTCAACATTTTTCAGTATCCAAAAAGTTATTTGTAGCCAAACACCGCCACATATTGCATGTAGGTCAATTGGTACAACATGTGAGCTTGGGAAAAATAAAATAGCATAGTGTTAGTACATGTACATCGAAACCACATTAAAAAGATGTACACCAATACTACACCAATATTTTTGGCATGTTCACGTACTATGCATGTGTACACTAAAACTACACTAAATGTGCACTAATACTGCACCAATATTTTTGGCACTAAAAGTGCACTACTGGTGCTCTTTTGGCGCTAATTTAAATAATTGGGACTACACTAAAACTACACTAACCAGTGCAAAAATGCTGTTGAGTTTTGCAGGGATGCACTAGAAGTGCACTATAATAGCAGAGCTCTGGTGTAGTTTTAGTGTACACTAATTTCTTCAAAATGCCTGCACTAAAATGGCACCAAATTAACACCAAAACAGCACCAATGGTGGCTAAGGGAAGCGCAACATAAACAGGCAGGTACCAAGTCTCACCCTTGGTGACTTCTTAATTTTCAGTAAAAGAGGCCATATCTTGGATGAAGCACAATGTGGAGCCAAAGGCAAGAGTATTTGAATATATGGCCAAGACCTGTAAACGACGTCAAGACTGGATTAAGAAAGAGACCCCAACCACAGCTGAGACTTTGGAGATGTATCCTCGGTTACTGGATCCGGGAATCGTAAGCTGCATATTTAACGGTCTTTGTTAATGTTGCAGAGGGATGATTGAGTCGACTATTGGCAACACTGCAGTGTTAAAACAGTGTGAGTGACCTTTAGAGTCCTTATATTAAAAATATTTTTTAAAGACATGTGCTTGACACTTTTCCATTGAAAATAAAAATAATTTGAAAATTACTGTTGGTTTTAACCGGAAACATTCAAGTTATTCAAAAGACAAGTTTTGGGGAAAAATTCATCTTCAAGATACCTAATGACCTCATTTCAATTGTGAGGGGAGCTATTTAGATCTTTGCACAGCAGAGTGGCACTTATTCCCTATACATGTGTCAATATGAGGCATGAAGGATATCCTTTTTTCTAAAAAGTGAGGGTTGTGTGTTTGACATAGTTATAATTAAAGCTCACCTGTCATGGAAGACCATCTTTTATAGTTTAATTAATGAGTGCTTTTATTTGGACCATTTTCAGATTGAACAAGACTTCCGTCTCGCCATTTCTGAGGAAACTAATCAGTTGTATGCCAAGTGGCCTTCCCTTTCGCAGAAGATCTATCAATACAACAACCAAGTGCTGAAGATCCAGTGGCAAGATCAACTAGACCTTGGAGGGACTGACATAGAGAAATTGACAGAGAGTGAGCTAAAATCTAGTTCAAAGAATTATTAAATAAATGGATGACTTAGAAGGCAATACTACATGTAATGCATTAATAAGCCATAAGTCTAGTTTATGTTTGTCTATTTCTTTCATCAGAGGACCGTCAAGAACTGGCCATGAGCGTTCTACCATTACTTTTCGTGGGGAGGAGCAAGGGAATGAAAGGACGATGCACCCCTGCAGAATCACTGAGATCATTTATAGATATGAAACCAGTAAGACATTTTAATTTCACTGTCACAAAGAGGAAGTTAAATTGTGAGAACAAAATGGTGGCATGTCTGGAAATTTTTGCCCAAAAGCTGCTCCATTGTATATTATGACTTGCATTTGTCATATGGTCATTCTTTGTTTTTCCTTGAAAGTCATAACTTGGCAAACTTGTTTTTTTTAAAGCTATTGTCACGAACATTTGTACCATGATGTTTCATAAAACTCAGTCCCGTACAAATGGTGTTGTGATTGGTTGATGAAGTCATAAATAGCCCATTTTATCACCAATTTTTAAAGCTGTTTTTCCAAAAAGGCACATTAAGTATATACTTTTGTACAAAAAAGTGTTTTGGGCATTGTGTAATGATTATGAATATTTTTGTTATACATTTATTTCTTATTAAACAGGAAGGTACAGATATCCAGCACTTCATGGCGACCATTCCTGCCAAAGAACGTCCACAACCTTTCATTTTGCTTCTCGGAGGAACCCGCTTCAAGCCGAACCAGGTGTTTATGGTTGTTGAGAGAAAGGCTGTGGCTTGCTCCTCTGTACTTCAGGCAGTTGACACATGCATGAAGATGATCTACGTGCTGGATGTAGACTATCAGCCTCAGTGTAGTGCTGTGTGGAAGCTGCTACAGCACGTCGTCTATGGATTGCCACCTGGTACCCTCACTGGTGTGTCACTGATTAACTTTCGAACATGGCTAAAACATTTGACCGAGGATTAGCTAGGGTCCTGGATATAGGGACTGTGAATGCTATTTTCCTTAAGTTTGCAGTACTCTCAGTTTCGAAAGCCAATTTTTATTCAGTAACTGTGTTCATTTTTCGTCTAATTCATAATCTCATCCTTGGAAGGTGCATGTTCTCTGTGCTTAGGTGAAGTCACCATTTGAGACTTTGCAGTACGCCATGTTGTTTCATCTGTCATATCAATTAGCTGCTCACAAAAAAGAGTGTAATTTTTTCTTGGTTACCAGCTTTTTAAATAACCAAGATTTTATTTATCTGAAATTTCCATTTGGTTGAGTATTTTTGACTCCAAAGAAATTACTCTGGGAACCCTAACCCAAAATTATCTTCAAATATGCGGCCTGCTGCTGATATGCGCTGTTAAAGGTCATCAAACTTTTAGGTGTGTCAGACCTCTTTAAAATTGTGAGATTGGTTTTGTTGATCAGAAGCCCTGATACATTAGTCATTTTACATACTGGATACATTTAAGGTAGAGCATGACAGGCTACTGTGGAGACTACATTTGAACAAGTGTAACTGAACAATGGGGCCAAATTCATGTTGGTAAAAGTGTTGCCCCTGTTGAAATCACTGAGGTTAACAGAATGTAAGCCTACCCTTATTACAGCCCATTATAGTGTTTTCCACCAGTGCAACCACATGCATTTTGATAGTATGAGGTTGAAATTGTGATTTTTCCTTGATAGTGCCAGCATTGGTGAAAGGTGATGCAAAGACATGTGTTAAGCCAGTTGTCTTGAGACACCATTATCACTGACTTGATGGAGTTGATAAAAAAAGTGGAGTTCATGAAAAAAAAAACAGTGTTACTCAATTTTTGGAAAGGTGATTTTGAGCAGTAACTGCAGAACCAGTATTTTAAATTTCATTACATGTTTTGAAGAGTTATACAGTAAAATCGTTTTTCTCACAGGGAGCTGGAGGTAACTGTGTTGACAGTGCTTCATCATGGGACCATAAAAAGTGCTTTTCTCCCAAAGTATTACACTGTCTGGCTGCACTACATGATGCACAGTCACTCCTAACTCAAAGTGTTGTATTATTAAAGAGAGCCCTTTTCCCTCCATCCAGCAGGTACATACTGTTAAAATGAGATTTCAAATAGATCAGCATTCCAGTGTAATATTAGAAGCAGCTTACTTGCAAATGTAAAGACTCGGTTTTTATAGATACACCACATTCCAGGATTGCCATAAAATACACTGATGCGGTGGCCTGTTACATTGGTTTTGATGATCAAATTTCACCAAACCAAAACCTGATTTAAAAAATAATTTTCAAAGCTTAAATTTTTCGTCAAAACAACATATGCAAACAAGAAGAGTCACTGTTACAGTATTTGTTTACTGCTGTTTGTGAAAAACTAGCAAAGGGATTTGTCATGTGGTAATGTATGCATTTTCTCTGTTATTGTCAATAAAATTAACAAGATTTAAATCTGAACCAATTCTGTATTGCCATTTTGTTTGTACATGTGTATATCGACTAGCCATTCCCCAATTCAGTTAGAAATACACAACGTTTGTGTAAAAATTTAACCATTTGTTGTGTAAATCATTTCAACATCAGTTGTGTAAGTTTATTTTACACAATTATTGTGAAGAAATAGTACACAACTGTTGTGTAAGTTTATTTTACACAATTATTGTAAAGAAATAGTACACAACTGTTGTTTAAAAATTACACAACCAGGGTTGTGTGAAGTGTTTACACAACTGTTGCTAGGTTCATATAGTAAACAGCAGTTGTGTAAAACTTTACACAACTTGTGTAACATTTTACACAACCGTAATAACTGTGGAGAACGCGGAAATAGTTTTACTGAATGTGCACATCTGAAACCTGTCACTGTAAATAGCACAAGCGTATACAGCTCATTTTCTGTGAGTTAATGCACTAATTGTACAGAACCATGAAGTTCACCTTGAATGGTTTCGTGTACATTTATCATAAAAAGGTGGTTTGTCATTCAACTGTTCACCCTTTATTATGCAGTGTAAATTATATAAACGGCAACTAAATTGCAACAACACCAAACTGCGAGTCGTGAAAGCTAGGGGCAGCCCCTTGAGAATAACGCATGGGAGGGGGAAAGTTGGCTATACCTTATCGAGCAATTTTGAATGTGGAAAAAAATCGGCGCAATGTCAGAAAAAAAACTGTTGCGTCCCGTAAAAATATGTATTAAAAAATTGCGGACCTAAGAAGATGAGTACCGTTTCCAAATGTTGGGGTCGTGAAAAAGTGACTGCCCGACAGTGGACTGAGATTTCTGCCCCTCCCGGTATCCACCTACCAAAGCAAAANTATTGTTCCTCTTTTGTTTGTACTTTAACTTTTTTAGAAGACCACCCATATGTTTTGTACTCAGTTGTCAATCGGAGGCCCTCTGTCAATTGGGGACCTTATTGTCCTCTATTGTTCAGGGTCCCCAGTTGAATGCAGAAACAAACTCACACACAACCCCCCCCCCCACACACACACAACGCCATCGCACCCTACATTATGCGGACTTCTTTTGTGCAGAGGTCCACACTGTGTATGCCACGCATGCGCACACATGCAAACAAACACCACCCATAATGTGTTTAATTAAATGTATCCTACCAAATAACGAATATACCCTCATCATGATCTTAAAACTATTTCAGGAGTAACGAGGAACTAGTTTTTTCTCTGTAGACGCAACGAGGCCACGCATTAATAGTCTTCTATACGTTTCATGAGGCTATTCCTACTATAGCTATTTTGTTTCATTTAGCCCCGTAGCAAACTTCCGGAATTGGCATTTGGGCCTACGGGAATTTCTCTTTCCACCCCTCCATATGCAGCCCTCCTCCTGTGTGTACCCGTGAGGGTTACTGCTTCAGCCTTGAGCATCTAGAAAGATATTTTAATTACAAACCGCATGCGAGAAAGGTCCAACTACACATTACTCAAAAGTCAACTGCGCGTTTTGCAAAACTTACCCTTCAAAGTTGTATCCTTCAAGCTGTTTCAAACAATTTGCTTGTAGTTTTATTAGCCTTTGTCACACTTGATTCCTCAAAATATGCAACTTTCCACAGATCTGTAGAGATACAACTGTGCATATGCTTTTATAGCAGACTAAAAAAAGATACTGGAAAGCCCAACCAATGAACGATTGACGCGCTGTAGGGTGTACCATTCTTTTTTTCCATGGGTACGTAAATTTGGTCTTAAAGTCATTAAAAATGACCAAATCTACTCACTCCACAGTGTGAAATGAATAAAATTCGGAACTTCTCACCCTTTTTAAAATGGTACTACCCATCTACGGCATTGCGTATGTTCGGATTTCCCGTTTTCTATAATTAGAAACGAAAGCAACCTACCTTCCTATCGACAGAAAAAGAAAAAGTATAATCATGTAAACCTTTTGCATAGACTAGGTGGGTGTACCCGCACCGTACAGCACACATGGCATAATCTGAGAGTGAACACATGCAAATTAAATGTACATAATCAACGCAAAAACATGTACGGTTGGGGAAAAAAGAGCTTTTACATCGAGAAGAAAATCACACAAGGGAGTGTTGTACTGGGAATATTTACGTACATGCCGTCGCGGAGCAGCATTCGATATGGCAAAAATAATTTTGTTATAAAAATAAGATTCGGGGTGTGAGTGGGTCAAAATCAAAAACGTTTTGAAAAAATTGAAATTATAATTCATGTTTTTGTATATGTTTTTGCATTTATTTACACATTTATAAATTAGATGTCGACAATTTTATTGAATTATATCACAACACATGTAGCTTTTGTTGTCAATTTTTACTGATTTAGTAGCCTGTCGAGGTGTTTGTGCTTATCCCAACCCACAGAAGTTCTGTTAATCTCAAATCATTTGTCTTTGTCCCTCTTTCACCTTTTATATCACTGATAACATTTTAGGAAAGCCATTGAACAGCAATTTGGTTTGGTTTTTGGCAATACCTGGGGCGTGTAACTGGCCCATAATTTGTCCATATCATTGTCCTTAATTTAGTGTTTTTCTTGTATGTTGTCTTTAGTTACTAACTGAGAAATAATAAAAGAAATGAAATGCCGTGCATGATCTGGCAGCATCCAGTTTCTTTTTCTTTGCAGAAATGAAGGTTGAAATATTACAGGAAAGGAAGGAGTGTGCATATTAATATTAACAAGCACCCAAAACCCCGAAATTCATGTTGTATTGTATGTTGCAACCACAGTGAAGTTAAAAAGTACAAAAAAGAACTACTGTTCATATTCACTTTAAGAAGTTGTGCCATGGTTGTAGACAAATAAGAGGGCACTGTCCTCTTTGTGGGAAAAAGCTGGACGATCAACTGGCCTTTTTATATTAAAACGCAACTAAACATACCTGAAATGTCAGGGAAATTACAATATCGAGAGGCTTTATTAAAGCAAAGCTCCTTGATCAGCTAAAATGTTCAAAACATCAGAAAAACAGAATACCAAGTTAAAACAATTGAAATGCAACCAGTGTCAAATGCTTTAATTTCTAGAATTTCTGGTGGATAACAATAAGCCTGTGTGGTAAATATTCAATGGACTAATTAGAAGGAAACAAGTAGCGAAAATATTTGCGATACACAAAACTTCTGCTAGATAAAATGTTACCATTGGTGAAAATTCAGTTATTATACCAAGGCTATGAAGTCGAGTCTACACATCTTCAAGACACTGTTCTGTGTACAAAAATTGCAGATTACTGCCGTACACCTGGAAATGCTTCGAGCAGCATGTTAAACTACAGGTACTGTACTTTTTGTAGGTAATAATCACCCTTAAATTTGCAAAGCTTCGTCAGAGAATTCTCTGAATCATCAACCTGACAACAGTATACAAGTATAACATGGTACAGGGAAAGTGTGAAAACCAATGTTCTTGCGGTGTTGGGTGATTGGGACTATCTCCCAAGGTGAAACTGAAAAAGTCCCAAATCATCCAATACCAAGAGGTCATTAGTTTCCCCCACACGTATGTCCCCCTGCATATCAGGTTGTATTTATTTAATTTTTTATGTCATAAATATTCTTTAGGTAAAAGTGTTGAGCTCCTGGAGCCTGATGAATAATTATGAGGTTTAGTAATTAACTGTTACACTTTAAGCATCCATTACGCAATTGCACTGGTCTTAAACTGGTCTTAACATCAAGTCAAAAGGAATCCAACACTTCGACATGTGCCTCATGTACATGTACGTCTATCTTTACAAGACTACTTGTACAGTTAAGCAAAAAGAGTACATGTAACTGGTTTTCACAATAGGAAAATGTTCAACACTAAACAATTCTGTGACATTTTCAAATACTTTAATTTCTTGCATGAGAGGAGCACAGATTTAATATGGAGGGCATTAAAGATGACAAAAGCAGAATCCCCAACTTCAGCAGCTAAATGGAAGGCACATGTACATCTAGGTGCAATTAACCGGCAGGTTGGTAAGCATATTTAGCCCTCAGAGAAGAACGATTTTTTTTTAAGTAGAAGGTCTGACATAGCTGTACATGTCACATAGGTTTTAACAAACATTTCAGGTTATTTAATAACTTTATTGATTTTACTAAGAACAAAAGAAAAACAAAACTTGAATGAACGTAGCAAAAGTACCACATCTGGGTAGGTAAGCAAACCCTCAACAGTACTGCATCATTCCCCAGCCTAACCAACACAGTTTAGGACTGCTTCCATCTATGTACAGATGAAAATTAAAGTTGTACTCAGGTTTGAGTTATTGGCATTTTTTTTCAAATTGTATTTTTGCTAAGCTTCATGTACATCCATTGATCGAAAAGCTTTACCAAGGTCACCATTCAACTGCAGTTTTGTACAGCCTGGGCACGTGCATTTCGTGAGTACATTGATATCATAGGACACAAAACTACATGTAGTAGAGTAGGATATTCTGGTAACAATAAATAACCTGCATAAATCTGTATATACGAATGTGGACCTGGATACATTTGTTCATATTCAATCATGACTCCATGTATCACAGCAAACAGTAAATAGAATAAACAGCAAACATTGTAAGGCCAACCTTGTAAACTCTGACCGGCCATCCTCGTCTGACAGCATGAAATTCAAGAAAGGCAACCTGTAGCTCATCAAATAATACCAACCAAAATCACTCACATAGCATCCAGCTGCTCCATACATTTTAAACACTTTGCAAAACTCTATCATTTGATTAATAACTAACTCTTCATTTGTTACAAGATAAGCGATGGTAGGGAGATTGGAGTCTGGTATATGTACGTCCATGATAAGACACAAGTGGAATGTTTTGTAAAATGAATCCCATAAAATTAGGTATTGGCAAATGACCACTGTCCACATAAAATGATGAGTTTCCCAGTAAATTTGCACTGAGAGTGAACACATCTGCACACTTAGACTCCTCTATTTGTACATGTACTGAGAGTGAGTTT